CTTCTTTCCTGAGATCTGATGTTCAGTTCAAACCAAAGCAGAGTAGGCAGGCTGGCCAAGCAGCTCTGAGTCTCCCTTTGTCTCTGCTTCCTCAGCACTGAGAGAACATAACACACCCTTGCCACATTGCTCAGCTTTGACTGTGGATTCTGGGGACAGAACTCAGTCCTCATACTTACAAGGCAAAAGCTTTGTTGGAGGAGCCATCTACTTGACTTTGTGTTTTAAAACAAAGACTTTTGATTTTTAGTGTTGAGAAAAATTATAAATGACAGGAAGTTTATTGTTCTCATCACCTTTATCCTTGTACTACCTTTATAACCTCCTCATCTTCTAAAAATTATAATATTGTGTTTATAAAATTATGAAAGAATTAAATGGCTTGATATAATCTTTTAAAGAGCTATATATTAACATGTTCATGTTGCATATATGCATATAACTGGTTTTGTAGTTATGGTTAATGTGTTTATTTATTATGATAGCATATGTCTCATCTATTTTCTTTTAAAAAAATCTAGCTATCTTTTTGATGGGAGAAGCATTTTTAAACATATGGATTCTTGTGTTGTTTTCAATAATCCTTTCAGATAATACATTTGGCTATGAACAAGTGTGAAGTTATTGCTCTTGGTTTTATTTATTCCTGGCTTTTCAAAATGTTGACATGCATGCAAATGAGTAAGCCACTGTGGGAGTCATTCTCGACTTTCTTACTAGCTGTGTGGCCTTGGTCAATGCGGTTAGCATTTCTTTAGGATGTTTCAGATTTCTGGAGTTCCACCTGGGGCCTGGCCATGGATCTCTGCATCTGGTTCCCTCAGTCATTGGATGGGGTTTCTTCTAGCATGACAGTTAGGGTGTTTGACCATCCCATCACCAGAGTAGGTCAGTTCAGGCTGTCTCTCGACCATTGCCAGCAGTCTATTTTGGGGGTATCTTTGTGGATTTCTGTGGGCCTCTCTAGCACTTTGCTTCTTCCTATTCTCATGAGGTCTTCATTTACCACGGTCTCTTATTCCATGTTCTCCCTCTCTGTTCTTGATCCAGCTGGGATCTTCCGCTCCCCTAAGCTCTCTTTCCCTAGACCCTTGCCGTTCATTACCCCCACTCACATCCAGGTTGTTCATGTAGATCTCATCCATTTCTCTGTCATTGGGTGATCCCTGTGTCTTTCTTGGGGTCCTGTTTTCTAGGTAGCCTCCCTGGAGTTGTGAGTAGCAGTCTAGTCATCTTTGTTTTACATCTAGTATCCTCCTATGAGTGAATGCATACCATGTTTGTCTTTCTGAGTCTGGGTTAACTCACTCAGGATGATATTTTCTAGTTCCATCCACTTGCCTACAAACCTCATGATGTCATGGTTTTTCTCTGCTGAGTAGTATTCCACATTTTATTTATTCATTCTTCAATTGAAGAGCATCTAGGTTGTTTCCAGGTTCTGGCTATTACAAACAATGCTGCTATGAACATAGCTGAGCAAGTGCTCTTGTGGTATGATTGAGCATTTCTTGGGTATATGCCCAAGAGTGGTATGGCTGGATTTTGGGGGAGATTGATTCCCAGTTTTCTAAGGAAGCTCCATATTGATTTCCAAAGTGGTTGTACAAGCTTGCATTCCCACCAGCAGTGGAGGAGAGTTCCCCTAGCTCCACATCCTCTCCAGCATAATCTGTTGTCAGTGTTTTTTATCTTAGCCATTCTGACAGGTGTAAGGTGGTATCTCAGAGTTGTTTTGATTTGCATTTCCCTGATAATTAGGGATGTTGAGCAATTCCTTAAGTGTCTTTATTGGTGAGAAAGAGGGGGGTTTGTATGAGGGAGAATTGTTGAGACCATGATTGGAAAAAGCACAGGGACAAATATACAAACGAATGAAAACACATGAACTATGAACCAATAGCTGAGGAGCCCCCAACTGGATCAGGTGCTCTGAATAGGTGAGATAGTTGATTAGCTTGATCTGTTTGGGAGGCATCCAGGCAGTGCAACTGGGACTGGTCCTCAGTGCATGTGCTGGCTGTTTGGAACCTGGGGCTTATACAGGGACTCTTGGCTCAGTCTGGGAGGAGGGGACTAGACCTGCCTGGACTGAATCTACCGGGTTGAACTCAATCCTCAGGGGAGTCTTTGCCATGGAGGAGATGTGAACGGGGGTGGGGGTGTGGGGGAGTGGACTGGGGGGAAGGTGGGAGGGGGGAGTACGAGGGAATCCGTGGCTGATATATAAAATTAAATTAAATTATAAAATAAAATAAATTTAAAAAAGTAAGTTTCAGATTTATCTGTCCCATAGGCTTTGGTGAAGAATAAACACCATCATACAGGTAAACAATTAAACTTAGACAACTGCAGTAAATATTCAACATTTTCTCTTGAAATCTTTGTAGATTCGCAAAGTGAATTATTTTGACTTGGATCTCCTCAGCAACTTGTTCTGATCAAACCCAGCCTTCATTCTTCCCTGACGTTCATTGTACAGACTGCAGACTCTGAGGGAGATGTGCATGTGGCATCCAGGAAAGGCATCTAGGAGGAAGGCAGAGAGCTAACACTGTCTGCACTACCTAACTTTAGAAAATAGCAAATTTTGGTCAAGAACAAAGAGAATCCTGACAGTTTATAAACCAGGGAAGGTTCAAGTTTTAGATTTTTATTCTCTGTAAATAAAAAGTTCTTATATGTATCATATGTATTGTTCTTGACTTACTGAGGCTGATTTTGAGTAATTATTGCCAGGATTAGAAGATGTGGTTATTGTTATTTGTATGGTTATATTACTTAAATTTATTTCAGAAACTATATGTTTTTTTCTCTTTGTTTGATTTTTAAAATGCAGATTATTATTCTCTATATAGCCCAGGATAAATTTGCTTGAGCCCTCTGAGTAGGATTATAGGTGTGGGCAACCATGTCCAACTCTCAAATAAATCTTTCTTTAACTGGGAGGAAAAAATGAAAATATGGTATGAATAGATAGCTTTGAAAAGGAACATATATCATAAACTAAAAAGAATAACTGGAATTGCCACTAAGTAAAAGGAATATTTGAAATTCTCCTTTGAATGCATTTCATTTATGTTTGAAATAAACAGAGATATTTTATTTAGTGAAATGCTTGTCATGCTATTCAGTAATTTTCAGGAGAAGACATAGGCTTCTTTCATTAAGATGATTGTAGCTTGAATCCTAATTGGTCTTAATAATAAAGGTGCAGAGCCAGATATTGGGGTAAATTCTGAAAGATCAGAGAGACAAAGGAGCAAGCCACAGCCCCCTCTTACCCCGCCAACTCCTCAGCCTGAGAGGTGAGCACCTATCACCTCCCACCTTATATTCCTCTCTCTGCCCAGCCATGTCACTTGCTGTCTCCACCTCCCTAGTACTGGTATTAAAGCATGAAATTCCAAGTGTTGGGATTAAAACTGCCTGGCCTCTAAGGTTAACTAGTGGCTAGCTCCGCACTCCAATCTCTTTGAGACCCAGAAGAAATCAACTAACATATCTGTGTGTTATTTTCTAACCCATAAAATGAGCAGTAGTCTAGGAGCAAGTAAAGCTCTTGTAGTAGATTCTGTTATAACTGTAATTTTATGAACTTCTTTATATTTTTACATATTGATGATGATGGTGATGATGTGTATAGATGTATGCGTGGCATGTGGGAGGTGGCATATGACAGGCACATGTGTGGAACTCGGAAGACACATTTGTGGTGTAGGTTCCCTCCTTGCACCTTTATATGGCTTTCTGGCATTAAACTCAAGTCGCCATGTTTCTGAGGACAAGTACCTTTATGCACTAAAGTATCTCCCTTGTGGAATATTACTTTAACTATGTAAAGATAGGTTACATTTGTTTATGTTGTGGAATATTACTTTAACTCTGTACAGCTATGTTGCATTTATTTTACCTTGCCTGTCTAAGGCACCTGTTTGGTATAATAAAAAGCTGAATGGCCAATAGCTAGGCAGTAGAGGGATAGGCGGGGCTGGCAGGCACAGAGAATCAGTAGGAGGAGGAACCTAGGCTTGAGATAGAGAAGAGGATGAGGGATATGCAGAGGACTAGCCAGTCAGGCAGCCCCAGCCATCCAGACAGGGAGGAAGCAGGAAAGTAGGACATACAGAATGAAAGAAAGGTAAAAAGGCCTGAGGGCAAAATGTAGCTGAAGAGAAACAGGTTAAAGTAAGTTATAAGAGTTATGGGACAAGTTTAAACTAAGGCTGAGCATTCATGATTGAAAAGTGTCCATGTCATGATTTGGGGGCTGGAGGTCGGAGAAAGCCTGCTACACTCACTAACGCTTGTTTCATTTTAGAGATAAAACCATGGAAGTTTAGAAAACATTTTGTACAACATGAGATTACTTCTTGCAACAGAATGGGAGGTTCTTGCAAGTATTTATTTAAAGAAAAGTTATGATCACCAGAGCAGTCAGACCTTCTGTTGTGAGGAGCCACAGACTGAACATATCTCTAGTTCCTGAAATAAGATAACTTCTATTGAACAGTGGTTTCTTATGTGTATCTACTTGGAACTCAGGCAGATCTCTGTGAGCTCAAAACCAGCCAATGGGAATCCTGCCACAAAAAAAAAAGTTTAGACTTCTTTTCTCACATAGAAATGATGGTTTAAGTTCAAACAACTACAATATGTATAGGTTTTTAATAGATGATCCATTGCTGGCAAAGGTTTACTAGGGATGAGCTTTTTTTTTTTTTTTTTTTTTTTTTTTTTTGGTTTTTCGAGACAGGGTTTCTCTGTGTAGCTTTGCGCCTTTCCTGGGACTCACTTGGTAGTGCAGGCTGGCCTTGAACTCACAGAGATCCGCCTGGCTCTGCCTCCCGAGTGCTGGGATTAAAGGTATGCGCCAACACCGCCCGGCTAGGGATGAGCTTTTATTTTTGTAGGATTTTAAACATGCACACTAATGTCAGAGCTTCACAATTTATTAGAAAATTTGAGCACATGCAATTTTGCAGTGGCAGCCCCTGATGGTGGCCTGTAGGGCAGCTTATGGTGCTGCTTTCTCCAGAGCAGAATATTCCATTGCTTTCTCCCTGGGAGTTGCAGCATATCCAGTTGCTTGGTACACTTGAAGCACATCACTAGCCAGGCACCACCAGATCTTCAAAACAAAGAAACTGCTGAAGCTGAATTGGATGCTATCCCTGTAGGAATGAGCCAGTGATGCCATATCATTTCAGCACAGTGGGGCAGTAGCATGGAAGCCTCAACTAATGTCCTTTATTTCCAAACAGAATATTCATGTTAGTTGTTCATTTTACCTCATTTCCTCTATTTTTCCAAGTCTAGCAACCATTGGTATCGGAAAGATATGTGCAGAGGTGATAAAAAGATAAATTAAATCTACTGAGATTTAATTATATTGACATTAGTCACTGGGCCCCTTACTTAGGTATTGATACTTGGTCTCTCTTATAGATTCCCACCTAAATGTTCCATTGACATAATCTAAGAACAGGAAAATACTGTAGAGTTCCTCTTTTATGATGTTTTGTGAATTTTATGTAAACTTTAACAACTACATGAAATGGCTGAGATTTAATTTTGAGGCAATGACTTACAGTAACATATTCAAGATCACTGTTATAATGTTGTTTATTAACACTGTAATATGTTATTTAAAGAGACTTTCTTCAAAATTAATAATACATGAGGTGTCTGTTGGTTGACTCTTCTGAACTTTAATGTCTTTTTGCTTTTTTAATTTATGATGATTTTACTGATTAATAAAACTATTTCATTTTGAAGAGGGAATTCCTTGGAGCATTAGTTAGATAGTCATGCTTGCCCCCAGTATAGATATAGTTTACCTGTTGAATACCTGAGAGCGGAGGTGATTTTTTTTCTCTGCTTCAAGCTACTGTTTGTTGCATGAGCTATGGTGATAAATGAATCTTCTGGTTACTTCTGGGAATACCTTTATGACCTCAGGAGCACTCAGTTATTACACTCAAGTTTGGATGTAGCTCCCGCGCTACTACCCATTCACCATGTCAGAGCCAGGGGCTGAAAATTAAAAACAGAGACAAGATAGGGGGTCATCAGTCTCAGTAGAATGTCCTTTATTGAAGAAGAGAAGAGGCCTTAAATACAGGCTTACAGCACAGTGGGAGAACCCCAGAGGGCAGAAGTTCGCTACAGATGTTTTACGTTCTTGCATCCTTGCTGTTTACACCAAATGCAGGATACACAAACAAAGAACCTCAAGTAAGCTGTTTTAGGAGGAAGGAAACCTGCAGGGAATTAGCATAGGTAGGACATCTGATCAAGGTCAGCAAGCAAGGCAACAGCTACCCAAGGAACCGGGGCCCAACATTTGGAAATGGTGGACTTTTTCTCTGAGTTTTAGATGTTGACAATGAGCATACACAGATTTTAAAGAATTATGTTTGTGTCTTATCCATATATATATATATATACATGCACACATGTCTGGATGCCCTTGGAGGCCAGAAGGGGAATAGAATACCCTGGAGCTTGAATTATAAGCAGTGGCAAGCTGCAGATCCTAGGCTCTGGGGAAGTTCCTTATGCCCTCTAGAAGAACAGTTCTTAACTGCTGAGCTGTTTCTCCAGTCCCATCATTCACACATCTTAGGTCAGCTGAGGTATTCCTTTACAAAGCTTCCTCAGAAGTTTGTTTCTTTGGGTAAATATGATGGTTAAACTTTAAGAAAATAAATTTTAAAACTATAACACTTTAGTTAAAATGTGGTTAATGATTTCTCCTTCATGAGATGTCCTTTTTGTCACATGAGATAGAAAAATGTGATATTGCCAAAAGACACTTGCCATATTCAAAAGCCTCCTTCACTTTTAAAGGAGAAAGAACATTCACAATCTGTGAATATGTTTGCTTTCAGTGGCAAAACAAGAAATTGAAAAACAGGTGCTCATTAGATCAATTTAATGAACAATTTTGAGTTTGAGAACTGGATATAACTAGATACTTACAGCTCTTTGAAGGTTCTGTCGTCTTGTGTGCATATATTTAGTATATTTACATTCTCTATTGTGGAATTTTCACAGCTATTTGAACTGTGGTTTCCTTATCCTTGAAACTGTGCTAAACATACACATTAAAGATCAAATATGAGTGGAATTGCTTAGCATTGTTTCTGACACAAATTTCTATCAATAATTTATCCAGCCCGCCCATTCCCAGTTGTGTATTTAATTCTGGTCTTACCTCTCTCTCTAGTACTACAGCTACTAACAAGAATCTCTGCTCCCACTCTTAGTAGCTAATTGGATTTACCAACTTTGCTATGAAATAGTCTCTCAGTCTTGTGTTAAAACATATTGTATTTCATAGCTAATTGATTCATTCAGACTAATTACATGTGAAATTAGTAAATATGTTTTCTATAGTCATCTGTAACTTGGGTTTTTTGTGTTTAATTTTCTTTTATTTACTTATTTTTTCTTTTTTGGTTTTGTTTTGTTTGATTGTTTGTTTTCAAGACAGGTTTTCTCTGTGTAGTTTTGGTGCTTGTCCTGGATCTCGTTCTATAGACCAGGCTGGCCTTGAACCTCGAACTCACAGAGATCCACCTGGCTGGGATCAAAGATGAGTGCCACCACCACCCGGCTCTTTATTTATTTATTTATTTATTTATTTATTTTTTTAATTAATCTATTTGTTTTACATCCTGGCCACAGCCTTCCTCCCCTCCTCCCCTCCCTCCCTCCCACCCTCCCTCCCTCCCTCTCTCCCTCCCTCTCTCCCTGCCTCTTTGGTTCCCATGCCCTAATCCTCTCCTCTTTTTCCATCCAGGAAAGAGCAGGTCTCCCATGGGTACCAATAAAATATAGGTATCAGGTTACAGTAAGACTAAGCACCTCCCTTTGCATTAAGGCTATGCAAGGTGACCCAGTATGAGGTATAGGATCCCAAAAGCCAGTAAGAGTCAGAAATAGCCTATGTTCATGCTATTAGGAGTCACACAAGAACATCAGGCTACACAATTGTCACATATATGCAAAAGCCCTAGGGAACCTTCTTGTGGAGTCTTTGAGGCCTCTGGCTTCTATACTCCTTTCTCCTCCGCAGGATTCCTGAACTCTGCCTAACATTTGCCTCTGAGTCTTTGCATCTGCCTTGATCCGTTGCTGGATGACACCTCTCTGATAACAATTGAGCCAGGTACCAATCTGGTCACATGGAGATGGCCAGTTCAAGCTTCTTATCCATCTGCTATTGCTAGGACTCTTAACTGGGGTCCTCCTGTAGACTCCTGAGAGATTTCCTGCACTAGGATTCCACCCAACTCAGAATGTCCCTGCCCCCAAGCAGTGTCCCTCAGCACTCTCCCCCTCCTGTGTGCCAACCTTATAGCTCAGGTTCCCATCTCCACTGGCCCTCACTCCACTCACAAAGTCTCTTCTATTTCCCTTTCCTAGGGAGATCTGAATCTGTAACTTGTTTGGGTTTTCCTGAAAATCCTTAAATCTGTGTGTGAAACTCTTTGAGTACAGGATAACAAGTAGATTTGTTTCTACTTTCTTTCTTTTTTCTTTCTTTCTTTCTTTCTTTCTTTTGAGACAGGGTTATTTTTCTATATAACAGTCTAGGCTGTCCTGGACCTTGCTTTGTAGACCAGGCTGGGCCTCGAACTCACAGAGATTCGCCTGCCTCTGCCTCCTGAGTGCTGGGATTAAAGGTGTGTGCCACCACAACCTGGCTGTTTTCTGTTTCTTATTTACCACAACCATGAATCCTTAAATATTTTCCTGTCGAATTCATGCTATCATAGATTTAATCATTAAAAGTATTGATTAAATACAACGATTTTAATTAGGTAGGAGATAGATTCTTTTTAACAAGAAGCTTATCTTTCTTATCCTAGGGGATATAATGCTATGGAGTAGACAAATACAAATAATACAGATTAATCTTGGAAGAATATTTTTGTAGAGAAAACAGATGTTACTGTCTATGATTTGATAATTTTACCTGTCATTCTTTATAGTGGGCAGAGTGTGTGAAGAAATCTGCCTACTGTGTACTCTATGCACTGTGCAAGAAACAGAATCAGTGTTTCAAATGACTGTTGTAAATGCAATGTTCTGCCTAAAGTAAGATGAGGATTTGCTTTTCCATTTCACTCATTCATGTTAAAGAGATCTACATATTCAAAAGGCCTGCTGCAATATTAGCTTGATGCAGCTGTTCCCATGAAGGTTGGAAAACCAACAGAAGAAGCTGTTCATTTCCATGTTTAATGTTCTGGTTGAACAAATGATCTTGCCATGGCCAGGCTCCAAGTCCGCACTAAAGAGGGACTATCATGTAGTTTTCTGAGTGTTCTTCGGCTCTTACAAGCAATTGGCAGGTACATCAAACTTTCAAGAGAGTGCCTAATAAAATTCTGGTTTATGGTATTTTTGACACAGCTATTACCAGTAAAGAAGAAAATGAAGCAGACCTCAGTGACATCCTGAGTCCACACAGTTGGTGGTAGCATTTGATAAGTCTTGGGCTTTGCATTCTTCCATTTTAAGCACCACAATGGATGAAGGATGGTAGACATGACTGGGATGTATAACACTAGGTGAAATTTCTCTTAAGCAAACAAGCCAGGCTGGTCTACACAGTGAGTTCTAGGATAGCTAGGTCTACACAGAGAAATCCTGTCTCTAAATACAAAACAAATGGGCAAAAGCAACCAACCACCACCAACAAAAAATTCAGAAAGCTTGTTTGGAAGGACTGGCAGGGAGTGTGGCTACTCATGTATCCAGGGCCAGTCCTCCTCCGTTCGGGGAAGGCTATCCTCTGATCAAGCAAGCAGCTGAGAGAGCAGTGCACATGGAGGGTAAGGGAAGATGCCCACCTAGCCAGGTGGAAATCAAGGGAATGCCGGATGTTGCAGCCGGTTAGGTTTTGTTGCTCTCTCTTAGATACCAATTCTTTTTTGTAATGGGAAACAGAAAGAGAGTGGATCGGAATGGCAGAGGAGGTAGGGAGGAACTAGGAGGCGTAGAGGGAGGGAAAACTATAATCAGGATATAGTATATGAAAAGAAATCTACTTTCAATAAAATGGAAAAAATTTTAAAAACCACCTTTATGTTTTATACTTTAATAACTCCATACATGTGTTTACTGGGTTTTGGTAATTTAAACACCTGGCTTCTCCCCTAATCTTTCAAGAACTTGCTTCCCAACAAACACCCTTCTATTCAATGTCCTTTGTAAAGACAATCCACTGAATTTAACTAAGTTTGCTTGCATGAACATGGGAGGGAGAGGTTATTTACTAGACTATGGGAAAATTTCTAGTGGGCACATCACTGAAGAGAAGCACATTCCTCCCTACAGCACCCATGAATTGTTCATACTCTCTCACTTAGTGGGGTGGCACATGAGCACATCTTCTTTTGTTTGATGCAACCATGATAATCCTGAGCAGACCTCACACAGCATGTTCTTTCTCGTATGTGAATCCTAGCTTCAAACATTTGGACTGATGTGTTTCAACTAAACACTTGTAGTTGATATAATACAGACTCACATTTGTGACTTCAAAACTGGAGTTTTTATATGCTGTCAACTTTTAAGTTTATTTAATGAATATCTTATATAATCAATTTCTTCTAATATGCAGATTAGTTAATGAGAAGTTATGTTACAGTTTAAGTTAGTGATAATACTACACAGGTCTCACGATTTATAACCATTTCTTATACTTTTCTGAGGTCTTTTTTTTTATTTACTCTTTGAAATGTGTACTTTTGAGAAGAACTTGAGATTGGATGTAGGTCCTCACAAAATAGACAGGTGCTGCACCCCTGAGCTGTACCTCCATTTACTTTGTGTTTTGAGACACGGTGTCACTGAATGTTTTTAGGATGACCATGAAGTTCCTCTGTCACTCCTGTGACTGGACCTTGGTCCTCCGGCCATGGCCTCTGGAGTAGCTGCCATTAGAGGACTGCCACTAGCAACAGCTTTCTTCTGTGTCTTTCCATATAAGATTAATGGGGATCCTGAACCACCTCTAGGTCCAGCACACTTTACTAAAAGTGCATGGGTGTTTGGAATTATTGCCATGGTATTGTTGCTTTTGACTTCTACTTTTCTTCCCCATAATGGTGAGAGGAAAGTGATTATTCATTTTGCTAAAACAATATATAGAAAATCAATGTTGCATAACATAATGTTGTTATGATTAATGACTTATTTTGTAGGGGAAAACATTGTTTTTGTGGTTACAAATCTAATTAATATATCAGTAACAGATTTCTATTAAATCTGGAATGAGTATTCATTCCTCAGAACTTCAGTGTACTGGGTAAAAAAATCAGAGTGAGGGATTCTGCCCTCATGCTTTCCACTGAGTAGGGATGCTGCTGTGCCCCGACTGTGGTTTTATGTGTGTCTCCACTACAAGAGGGAAATTTAAAGATATTTACTGTGTTGTTCTAGATGTATATTGACAATTATTATTCCATACTGACCATTTGTATGTGGAATGCAAATGTGTGTGTGTGTGTGTGTGTGTGTGTGTGTGTGTGTGTGTGTGTTCCAGAAGGCATGAGGTCCGCTTCAGGCATTATTCCTCAGGAGCTGTTCACTCTGTCTTTTGAGATCAGGTGTTTCTCTACAACCCTGGACTCACTAAGACCTGGGATCTGCCTGACCCTACTTCTCCCAGACTGGAATAATAAGGATTTCCTACCACACCTGGCTTCTTGTGTGAATTCTGAGATCACACTTACATCATCATGCTTTCATGGAAAGTACTTTGCCAACTTAGCTATAACCTCAACAACTTTAAAGTGATCTTGTTTAGATCTGTTACATAATACATATCACTACAAATGGAATCTTTTGTTATGAAAGTCCCTGTATAGCTCCTTTTGTTTAATGTCCCTGTGTTTTGAATGGAAGTAAGAAAGCAAATTGATTTGATTTGGTTACCCACAAGCTGTACTACTAAAGATCACTTAATAAAGCCAAACCTAAACCAAAGGTCTGAGGTAGCATTCTCTCCCAAGCAAAATGCAAGCTATTAGAGTAATTCATTTTTACTCATGTGGGACTCATTCCAATACTCTTAGTGGGTTCCTGAAAACTTTATACCAGCCTCAATAAAAAGTATGTGTTTTCTACAGAGGCATACCATATACAAGGGTTAACAGATAAATTAGACACAGTTAAAAGATTAGTGACAATTAAAATAATAAAGTAGAATAATCATAATTACATATATTAACAAAATTATAGAAAACTTATAAATTACTTATTTCAGGAACTTTTAAATTACTTATATTCAGGCCACATTCAATTATGAGTAATTAAAATTATAGAAAACAAAAACTGGCAGTGGAGGAGTACTGCTTTGGGGAGATGGTTCTAACAACATTTTAGTCAAGTTCCATATGATTTCAGACTAAAAGTCCAGTAACTTTGTTTTCTACTTTGTTATGATTTTACTTAATATTATTTTCAAAGTCCTATTAATAATTTTGTGAAATGACAATTAATGATTAGTCAAATGACCAAATGGCAAAGAGGTCACTAAATCATGGCCCATGAACAAAGTCAATGCCATTACTAGTATTTGGAAATCATAATTTATTAAGATGCAATCATATTTTTTGTCATTTATTATCTGTCAGACTAGAGCCAATCATTTGTAAGACAACACAAAGGAAACATGTTGGTGCTGATGGAAATATTCTCTACCTTGATATAGTCAGGATGTCATGGGTGCTCACATTATGTACAACTGATCAAATTATTCGAATTATTTAAGTATAGGCAGTATAGTGTGTTCAATGTATACTACCCCCAAATGAAATTTGATAAAAAAAAAATGAAATAAAAATCATGGTTTAGAGAACAAAGTAATAAAAAGCATGCCCAAACATTTATCGTTACATCATACAGATATGCCAATTATTCTGTCAAATTACAATTTAAAAAGTGCCACTCATGGACATGGCACTCCTAATGTCTTTACCGGTGTCAGATATCACCACAGATACTACAAGCCTCTCACCAACAGCAGCCCCCTCAGCACCTGCAGGGCATCCGTGCTCCAGAAAATTAAAAGGCAACGAAGGCAGTGCCTTCCCCTGTTGGTTGCACAACTTGACTCAGAGTCATCTCTTCAGAGCTCTGAAGATAGAGTATGGGGCAGGCTCAGAGATAAAGGGCCTGCCAGCACCTAGTGAGCCTCACCACTCACCATCCCTGTGCATGCCAGGTGTGCATGAAGGCCTACTGATAATTGCAGCCTTCAGAAAGCAGAGCCGGGGATCCCTAGAGTAACGGGCTAGCTTAGGTTTATACTGAAGACCTTCCCTCAGTGAATAAGGTAGAAATGACTAAGGAATTTTTTCCGAGTCTCCCTCAAGCTCCCACATGTAGGCACATGTGTGCATGTATATCCTCATATATCCGCACATGTATGCACATCACCCATATGTACATTAAAAAAAAAAAAAGAAGTAGAAGGAGAAACAAAGGGAGTACAAAGTATTGTGTTTTTGCAATGATGGAAATGTAAGCTTTTCAGTGGTTACAGGAACCGAGAGCAGCAAGGACTTCTTAAAACAATCAGGCTGATTTTCAAAGCCAGTCTCCATCATTTCCTTCCTCCAAGAGAAAGAGGCAGGTTAGGAAGCTGCAGACAACCAGGAGGTTAAAAAAAAAAGAAAGAAATGATAAAAATGAACAACCTCTTCATGCAGCTGTTTGTATCCGTCTCTTGGAAACCTAGGCATTCAATAAATATGTGTCAGCTGAGATAAAGAGCCGAAAAATCTGCACTTGCAGAGCTGCTAAGCAACTTGCCAGAATATCGTAGTTAGTGACTCTTGCTGGTCTCCTGCTGGCTTTTGGTCTATCTGAAGGCTGGATTGAAATTATTTGTTTACATGTGAGCTATTTAATTAAAAAGAGCTAAACTAGTATTATAGGAGCTATTTGTAATATCCAATAGTAATTTCTCTTTATATGAATATTGTAATTTTCAGGTTATCTCTATGCCACAGACAAGTATTTGTTTTATATAAATATACCCTGTTCCTTATAAAAGAGAAACACACAAACATCTATATATGTATATACATGTATATATGTATAACACATATATATGTCATATATGTGCTCTGTGTGTTATATTTATATAGCATATAACTATATATACATATATGTGCTTATATACAAATTAAATACAGTATTTATTCATTTATATGTAATATATAAATACTGAGTATATATTAATTTCCATAGTAATAGAGTATATAAATTAAAAACATATTCTCTAGCATTTAGAATTCTGCAAAACAGATACCTGGAAAAGTCATTTAATCCAGCTGCGGCAGCTGTTGATAATGTCTGTATTTCTCCATTCATGAGGTAGGAGTTAAGCCAGATTAATGAGAACCCATATTCCAGGCTCTGAGTGAAAGCATTTTTTGTTTTTGTTGTTTTTGTTGTTGTTTTTTGCTGTCATCCTATTTAATCACTTATAACTAATCCTGAGTTTTAATACTGGCACATACACCTCACAGATAAAGAAACTGGGTTTGTAAAGGCCTCCTTTACTTGGCACTTCCCTTGACACTGTTTACATTGTCTTCGCTATTACATTAGCTGTTATCTGAAGTTTGACCAACACAGAGAACTAGAAACCTGATCCTCTGGGACTAGATCTCCAGTGTTGCTCAATGGTGGAGAATGTGCTTAGCACACAGGGGGACTTGCGTGAGATCAGAGAGAAGCAAAGTGACAGAGCAAGAGAGGAAGAGGGAGAGAGGGGATAAGAGAGAGACAGAGAAAGACCCTCGGGATCAAAAGTCGGTACTGCCCAGGTTTCTGGATTCTTTGAGGTTTTCCAAAGATCACCTGTCATAAAACCCAGAGATGCGGAAGAGGATATAGCCTGGATCTGCAGATTATTATTGAAAAACCCTGTTTTTTTCCTCTGTAGCTAATGAGGGTTTGTATATATATAAATTAGAAGAATGAAATTATCAACCTCTAATAGAGGGCTTGCCCCCTGCTTCTTCCCAAGTTATTCTTCACAATGATGGAGAAAACATGAGTAACAGCTTATACACATTTTCTGGCTAAGTTTTAGATATGATTTTTCTAATTATTTTTCAGGCTTCAAAAGCCTCACAAGGATTTGAATTTTGTTGTTGTTGTTGCTGTTTACTTTTTTTGAGATAGGGTTTCTCTCTGTAAGAGTCCTGGATCTTCTGGAATTCACTATGTAGACCAGGCTGGCCTTGAACTCACAGAGATCTACCTGCCTCTGCATCCCTAAGTGCTGGGGTTAAAGGTGTGTACCACTACTCCCAGCTTGAAATCTTATATATTTATTCTTTGGTTAGCATTTCCAATGGAATACTTTTGTTGTTGTTTGTTTGATAAGTTATTCCATTAATACATGTATGACCTAGTTTAATTAAAGTTTATGACAAAATTTTAGCAATAGAACCTGTGGAGTATGAGGCAGATGCAAAGATCACACTGCCTGGACTTGATCCTATTTCCCTGGTGAATAGCTGCGCCTCTGGGCAAGCTGTAATATCAATGCTGCATCTTTGTGTGTCTACTGAGTAGGGATCACTCACCTCCTGAGGTGGTGGTTGTGAGGATGAAAACCAGACAGATTTCAAATACTTCAGGCCGCTCATGGTACAGTCAGGAGTCTCTGCTTCTAACACCATTTTCACTCATCTCAGGCAATTTGTGATTGAAATTTGTACCTTTGTTGGACAAACTAAAAACTAGAGCATGTGGCTGGCTCAGTACTGAAGATCACTTGCTGCTTTGGCAGAAGACCAGAGTTCAGTTCTCTAAACACACGTGATACTTCACTACCATCTATAGCTCCAGTCCTAGGGGATCACCAATCTGTTTACTGACTTGTGTGGGAACCAGGCATGCACTAGGTCCACATACATATTGACAAACAAAATTCTTATGTAAATGGATAAAAGAAATTATTCTAAATTAAGAAAAATTAAAGATAGGACTAGATAAATGTGTCTGTCAGTGGTTCCAATCACAAATACTGCTCTTCCACAGGACCCGAATTCAGATCCCAGCACCCACATCAGGTGCCTCATAACTACCTGTAACTCCACCTCAAGGGGTCCAACCTTCTTTTTTGGTTTCTATGGCATACACACAGAGAGACATATACATAGATAAATGAAATGAATATGTAGAAACATACTGAGAGTAGAAGGAACTATATCAGAACAACGGAGCAGTTGAGTAGATAAAAGTTGGTGTGGGTAGACCATGACACTAACAAGTGTGCATATAGATCTCTTCCTGCTTTCCTACACCTTGCCATACAGTGAAAACACAATTTTCTCTTGCAATCTTCTACCCATTCATATTGAGCATGTGAATATTCCATATATAAATTCATTTACTACTGCAGCTTAGGGACTTTAAAAGCCATTTACTTGGTATAATAAAACTAAGCATTCAAAAATTGGGAAGCTAGACTCATCACATCCCGAAACCTCACCTCTATTCAAAGTGATATCAATTTGATAATCGTTGTTATAAAACTGTGCTTAAATGGGGTAATTGCCTTTTGCTCAGTGAAAGTATTATTTATCTCTAGTACATTTGTCTTCAGAAGGGTCAAAAATATAATTTCCCTGCCAAGTGGTGCTGATTTTTCTACATTGTGGTTATTTTGACCAGGTTGTAGGTTAAAAGCAACTTTGAGCATTGTCTTCTCTCAGTTGCAACATAGGTGCTTTAAAAAAAAAATCAAACCCTTTAAACACATTCCATGTTCAGTTAGCTCAGCCTTTGCAAGGGAGGATTTACAAGGCTTTCTGGAGAGCACAGGTGGAGATTACTGTTCTATGGTTTCACTTTGAGCACATTTATAGGCATAATCTGAATATGAACTATTTCTAAGATTAACAATGCCCTCCTTAAATGCTGACCATGGTTGGAATGGTCATATTAAAATTTGAAGTTTTAAAAATTACTCAAGAGCTACTCTGCCTTTCAAGGGCAGGTATAAGCAGCATGTAGTACTCTAATGAAAATGACAGTTCCGTCTGATGTTAATGATTTCTGTCTACACTTGTATTATTAGTCCTGACAAATGTTGATGGAAGCATTGAAAAAGTCTTGTATGTATTTTCTTCGCTCTTCTAGTTGCAAGACATATCTGTGGTACTAACGTTTTTCTAGGGGGAGTAGGAATGCATATACATAAATGTTAATATATATGCATGCACATATATGTAATTCACATATAGTGTTTATATATATATACATGTATATGTGTATGTATATTCTGTAAGTCCCATAGTTATGATTTTAAAGATTTATGCTGTCATATTTTCCAATATCAAATATATTTTATTTTGGGACACTAACTTTCATTTTAGAGACTACACTCAGTATATATCAATATAGATGTAAATATATTATAAAATTCCATTTTTTTCATTTTATTAAATTAGATATCCAAGATATTGATATATAGTATTGGAATGCTGTTGGGTTTTGCCAGCTAAAGCCTCAATTAAATTTAATTATTTTAAAAACAAAATAGCAATCATTCTTTGGTTTCCTACGCTGTCTTTGGAGTATGTTTGCATATATTCATGTTTGCTGAATCCCATGTTAAATTATAGCTTTTCAAATTAAAATTAAATTTGTCAAGCACCACTGGGAACAATATTGTAAAATATTCATTTCTTTATTTACTGGGGTAATTGCAGCAACTACTGTTTGACACCCACACCACAGCTTTCCCTTTAAATGGAGTAACATGTGGTTTATTCTGAAGCTATTTTGAGTGACCACAGCCTGGGAATATAGACGTGGGTTAACCCAAATTCCATGTTCCAAAGTGGAAGCATTTCATGAAGACTTGTAGTCTTACGGAACAAGGAAAGTCATAAATCAAAGCAAATTTAAAATACTTTGGTACATACAGCAGAGATATGGTGACAGCGGGGGGGGGGGCATTTCTATGGGCCTAAGGTGTTACCTAATGCATACTTAGCTATTGGGTTGGTGGAAGCTAGTAGTCTGCTAAGTATATAGATTTCGAAATATTTTTATCTACTAGTAACAGGATTTTAGTTCTAATGAAGAATTGAGCAAGGAATGGCTAACTCTAGGGCTGAAACTGACCCAACATATGATAATTAGCTTCGGGAACTGCAACATTCTAATCTTTTCACATTACTGAAATTCAGATCTTTTCAGTCAGTTTTTGCACACGTGGGTTCTTTCTGGGAATTCACATAGTTAAGTAATATTCAAATTATTGATATAAGGAACAAAAATAATCTCATTTTCATCCATAGCTTCTCAGGACTGTGAAGAGTGGAGATGGTTTTCTTCCCCATGATGTCAGGGGTCTCTGCAGAGGGCCTGGGGTTTTTCAGAGGCCTCTATTCTCCTGGGTGTGCTTTTCCACTGTTATTGACTCAGAGTCCTTACGTGGGCTGTCAGTTGCTGCACTTGTCTACCCTTCTTCTTATCAGATGCTACAACAGCATGCTATATTCCAGACTAATGAAATTTGTTTCCTGTAACACTAGAGAACAAAAAGCAAAATGTCTTGTACAAACGACATAATCGGCAAATATTGCCTCTTAATATATTCTGCACTGCACTGATTTAATTCCACCTCTATTTCAGAGTTTAGACTAAGATCACAAAAACTGGACTAGCAAAAGGAAACAGGATTGTGGCTGTGCCCTTCACAGTGGACTGTTAGTTGGATCTAAAAGTTGAGTGTAAACAAATGATGAGTGTTTGTCCCTTTAGAATTTGTCAAAAAACAAAAAACAAAAACAAACAAAAAACCCCACCAAAGTCACTTTTAGCAACAGCACCTGAACACTTCAAAGAACTATGTGTCTTCAAAGTTTCCCAAAAATATGGAACAGCAATAATGATGCAGCTCTCTCCTGTCCTATGGTTTTAAGAAGCAATTCTTAAATTGTTAACCATATATTTTGATATCAGACTTTTGGAAGACAAGAATTCTGCAATAAATAGGCAGCAGATTAGACCTGACTTGGGGCTGTTTTCATATGGTCTATTGCCAAGAATATTTATTTTTTAAAATTTTCAAAAATAACAAAAATAACACAACACAGGGAACAAGAACAGAATAAAAGAAGGAAAATATTCTGCAGAGATGAGCAAATATTAAAATACTTGCTACCTGTCACTTTTAGGGATCATGTGATGGGCCTCTCGATCTCTCCTACTTGATAATAATATAGATTCTTCAGCTGATGCTGGATCTACAGAACTGGAGTCATCAGTGGGAAGGGAGATGTTGGGATTCTGCCTCTTTGTGAAGTTCCCTGAAAGTTGTTACCATGTTTAATACATCTTCAGAAGCATAAAATTTAATTGTTTACAGAAATGTGAGGACTTCCTAGAATCAGATCTTTTAACCAATGAACTGAATTTCCAAGATTATAAATCGGTATATAAACTGTACACTTGACTTTGTCCACAGTAGATCTTGTTTTGTTATTATGAAGAAAGACTGGATTGGAAAGTAAATGAGTGTTCTTCCAAACCAAGATCTAAGCTAAGAGTCTTTATAAGTTTGAGCTTTGATGTGTTTGATATTACTTAGAGTTACTAGTAGTTTTCATACAATCTAAAAAGTATTTTAAGTTAATAATTTTAGAAAGTAATTCCTTCAAATATAATGATGTGTACAACTTTGCTTGTATGTGTCAAAGAAAACAAAACAGAACCTGAAGCCAACTTATTATGTCACTGAGAGTACATTACACCCTATTGTTCAAACTCCACAGACTTGAAATGGCATCTTCTTATTTATACTTGAATACTCAGTACCTGAGATCTAGTAAACACCCAGTAAATATTTGTTTCATGAATAAATTGGTATCTCCTTCCATAACTCTTGTAACATTAAGCATTCTGACCTAATTCACAATCTTTAGAGTGCAGCTGAGATCACATGTTGCTGGCCTGCATTTGAGACAGGAATTGCATGCAATAGAAGTTCCTGTATTAACACAGGAGTAATTGAACAAAGAATAATAAAGCTAAGAATGTTTGTTCCTGAGTACTGAGTTCAGTGTGCCCTCTCACAGAAGTGCATTTACTTGGAACACCTATTGATAGAAATGAGGGCACAGCCTTCGTTTCTAGTGGAGAAGGCAGCCATGCACTGGTAATGGAGGGGAGATTTAACTGTAGCACTAAATGAGCTAAAGGGGACAGATTTGACTGTATCACCTAAATGAGCTAAAGGGTACAAGTACAGGTCTCCAAGGGCATTGCATCCCTAACCTACTCAATTTAACAGTCTGAACTGGAGACCTTGCTGTCACTTTAACCAAGACAGCAGTATCACTGTTTGCACCAAGAATTTATATCTACATGTACATGTAACAAATTATGTTGACGGCTGGCTTAGGTGATGAGTGCAGAAATTTTCACTACATTCTTGGTGTGGTCCAAGCTTACACTTGTAGGTGAACTGAGAATTTCCTATCCTTGGATTGCCCTTCTCTTCCACTCTTAAAGTGTCCTGCTCCCCATGAGGATGGTAAATTATACATCATATTAGTGGTGAGCCATCTCCTTAAGGGAGATTAACAATGGGAAGTCATTGAAGTAGGAAGCAATATTCATTGAGGCTGTTAAATACATTTTCATATTTAATTCTTATGATAGCTCTGTGGGAAGTTACT